GGCAGGCAAAATAGCTCAGCAGACTAAGTGCCTGCTTAGGCAAGTACTGGGACCAGGGTTCAATCCCCAGTACTGCATGCTATGCCTGCCCCCCCACCCCCTGCCCCTTCCTGATGTGTGCTGTGCCGATGACTGAGTCCCAGAGTGGTGGCACATGCCTATATTCTTAGTGCTGGGGAGGCTGAAAACAGGAGGATCACTACGAGTCCAAACTGTGTAGTGAAACCCGGTACAAAATATATTTTAAAAAATGACCAACTCTCTGGTGCTATTTAGGGCCTAATGAAACAAAGGAAAGGAAATAATTCACGAACTATAAAGTTCTCTGTGGATGGCTTCAATACTTCTAATTAACGGTGAGCCTACTGTTTATCACTAGTTCAGATAAATCATTGTTCTTAACTTATGGGAAGAGGATTTATATGTAGTGATTTTATTCTTTTTTTGGGGGGGAACCAGGGATTGAACTCAGGAGACCCTGCGCTTGCCAGGCAAGCACTTACTCTACTGAGCTATCTCCCTGGCCCCAATTTTATTCTTTTAATAGGTGATATAATGCAAAATATAAGTGGCAAGGTTCATTAAAGACTTAAAGTGCCATATAAATATTAACTATTTTATTGGAATATTATGTGATGTGTCGTAATAGATTGGTTTTTCTTCTTTGATGACACTATGATTCATTTATTACAATGTTATACAGCGTATGAGTGGACATTGGAGTAGAGATTAGAGGTTTTTAAAAGTTTTTCTTATTTGATCAAATGCCTATCAACCAAAGACAAGCCTATCCACAGGGAATCTCCCTTTGGTTTGACAAGACGTCACTTTGCTGACTAGAAAGGGGAGAACAAGAGTGCGTCCTTTGACTTAGTCATCATAGGTAGTTCAGGGTTCCCTTGAGGTCTTGGTACGTGATTTCTTCATATATTAGTAGTTTTGCATCTTTTTACTGTGTTTGAGATCAGAAGGTATTAGGTTTTTTTTTCCATAATTTTATTGATAAACAGCAATGAGACAGTTTTTTTTTTTAATTAATTAATTTATTTATTTGTGTGTGTGTGTGGCCAGCTCAGCCCACCAGGGGGCGGGATGGCTGGCATGTGGTGCTGGGGGATTGAACCGCGGTCCCTGGGCTTTGCTAAGCTTGTTCTAAGTAGGAGCTTTAGACCACTGAGCCATCTCACCAGCCCCAATGAGACAGTTTCAAATCAAATTGGTATGACAGTTTCAATAGTTATTAGGTTTTTTTGAAGTTTACGTGTTTCATAACAGCATGCCTATATCAGATTAAAACTAGACTGTAAACTCAACTCTGATCACATGATGAAGCATCATATTTTAATTAATAGCCATTATCTTACTGCTGAGGCTCAAAGTGCATTCACTTCAGTGCCTTGTTGGCATGAAGAGTTTGTTTCTAGAACATTCTGGAATTCTTATCACAATTAATTTGGAGAGTTTGGGGAGAGCACGACTGCTCTTTGCAGATTCATTTTATCACTGTATATGATGGAGATAATAGTCCAAAGGAATTACAGATGCTCCTCACCTTCCGATGAGGCTTCGTCCCCCATGAACCCGTCTTAAGATGAAGAGTCTCACATGGAAAACGTGTGTACTGTGCCTCACCTACTGAGCAGCATGGCTTAGCTGTGTCCTCTGGGGTCATGTTGCTCACTGAACTGTGGCGCTCTGCCACCACCCAGCATTACTAGCTTGGGAAAAGAGTCAGCTTTCATAATTTGAAGTAGGATTTCTAATGAATGTATGTACTTTCTACACCATGGCTAAGCTGAAAAATTAGAAGTCAAGGCCTCATAAGTCAGGGATTGTACAGCATTTTTGGAAAGCAAGCGCTCATTAACAAAAGGCGATCATGTTAAAAGAGGAAAGAGGTACTGAACTGGCCTGTGAATTAAGGAAGCTGGGAGCAATCCGTTGAGATGTGACGGCAGGCTGGATATTAATTTTTTTTCCCCTAAGGCATCCTTACTGTTGCTATAAACCATCTAGAATATTGGTTTACTACCTGCAAAGCCTACATATAGCTAATAAGTATGCAATTGTTCTTAGCCAAGACAGAACAGAAAATAAGCTTCCATTCAAGAATTTAGTTTGGGGATATCATTCCTCTGTTAATGAGTATATTCATGGAAACACATGATCAAATTTATGTGTATGTGAATTTGCATAATAAAGGATTTGCAGCAGTGGTCCCAGTGTGTTATTTCACTTGTTTGTAACAGCCCAAACCTCACTGTCTCCCTAGAGATCATATCTGTTTTCCACTGTAATCGCCTAATAAACCACTGGCTGCCTGCTAATTTGCTTTGCACGTGGTCCTGTTAAAGGGAGAGGCATCTTTTCAGATTAAAAGGGGAATGAAATATTGAGGCGAATTTCTACATTTGAAAGCCATTACCCTTTCTTTCTTTCTTTCTTTCTTTCTTTCTTTCTTTCTTTCTTTCTTTCTTTCTTTCTTTCTTTCTTTCTTTCTTTCTTCTTTTTTTATAGAAATCGTGAAAGTATACAGGTGTTCAAATTCTTTTTAGCAAGCAGTTTCCCTAGGCAGAAATGTAGTATGTGTATCTGTTTATATGATCTGACGCATCAGGGATCATTTACCAGCTGGGTTTGTTCTGTCTGGGGGGAAAGGGTCCTGGGATCCTGGGGGTGGGGCTGCTGGAGTGGCACGCGGGTTGTGACTTGTGATATTTCAGTTTCCAGGGCTCACGTGCCTCAGGCTGCTCCCGCGCAAGGCTCAGTGAGGATGCGTCTCTGCAGTACGTTCATGCCTCAGACACGCTGACTCTGACGCTTAACCACACGGCTGGGCACCTACTGGAGGCAGATATTAAGCTCTTCCGGAAATACTTTTGGGACCGAGCCTTTCTTGTTAAGGTTTGTGCCGCCGCTGTGGTGTACAGACGCGCATGCCTGGGGAGAGTGCGGGCCTCCGCCCGCTATCCCCGGAGCAGAACTTGTTGGTGGGAGCACGGTTTTAATCCAATGAAACCCTGGGAAAGTGGAATTGGAAACCATTAGAATGTGAAATGAAGATTATTATATATACTGCCAGTA